TGTTGGAAAAGGCGCTGCGATCGTGACGGGCGAGGCCCGGGGGGAGGATTTTTGTCGGTGCGTGCGGAGGTGGCGGGGGCGCTTCGCGGCTCCTCAGAAAAGGCAGAGGAGCTTTTATTTCTTTATTGCTGGCGGTGGTCACTTCGCCGGGGTCTGGAAAAGATATGTCCGCGGGGTTGGGGTGGTTGCCGGGGAAGGCGCTGCGAGCAGAGGCAGACGACGGATCACTTTTAAGTTACTGTAGGCTTTGAAGGGACAATGCGCGTCTGTTATTTTAAAAGGTTTCTCTCCCTCTCCCTCTCCCTCCCTCTCGCTTTTCTCCCATCTCGTTTTCTCCTTCTGCCACACAGTTTCCTGGCAACTGTTTACGTCTAGACTAGAGACATTTTCTCGAAGAAAGTGAGATGTCCAGGGACTATGTGAAAAAAAAAGGAAAGAAAAAGAAAAAAAAAGAAAAAAAGTTTCTCTCTTTTGACCAGCAACAGCCATGATTAACTTGTTCCATGCTGTAATTCCCAACACCCCCCAGCACTCGCTTCCAGCATTACATGAGCCGTCTCGCCTTTTCCTCTCCTTCCCCCTGCTTTCCCCACATTATTTGACCAGCAGCCCCCCTTTCCCCTTCCCGGGAGCTGCTTTGGCGGAAATATTTGGGTCTGGGCGCATTTTGACTCCCTCAGTGTCCCTCTGGCCTCCCCCTCCTCTCCTCCACCTCCTCCCCCCTTTTTTTCCCCTTTTTGTTAATAATTAGCCGCACTCTTTAATGGAACAATGGTAGATTATTATTGCTTCTTTTCAAAGATCCCATTAACAAGGTTATTATGCGCTGCACGGGAAGTCAGGTAAATTAAACTTGCATTGCTGGAAATTAAGTTTCAGGGGGTTTCGCGCGGATTTTTTTACACCTTCGGGGGTCATTGTTTTAAATACTCCAACCCTGCAGCTCACGGCTCCGTCGGGTTTATTTTCCGATGTGATTTTGGGCGTGCATGAGCATTACAGGGGAGGCTTCACTGCTGCCAATGTCTCTCTATGTCTGAGTTCCAAGAACAAGGGGTTTTTTCAAGTGTTTTCGTGGTGTTGGCTTGACTTTATGGCTGCAATAAGTCCCTCGGTAGGGAAACCCCCGCTGTGTTCTCACTTCAGAAGGATCGGGAATTCCAGCTCCCCATGAAAAAAAGGAGAGTTTCATTTTTTATTGGAACCAACTGCACTGAACTTTTTACCAAGTTCTCAGCGGCTTTAGCTCCCAGACAAGCAGCGCTCTGTTCTGTTTGCATTTCGAAATATTTGGGTGTTGTTTTAATCCCCTCATCTATCTGCCTGGCTCTGCTCGGTGGGCTCGATCTCCGCCTGCCAGAAAAGCCAGGCGACAAAAAGTGGGACCTTCCCGAGGGGAGAACTGGGGCTGCACATATCGTAAATACTTCTCTTTATCTTTATTTACACCCTGGCAGCTGAGTGATGTCTGTCAGGAGGGGAAAGCCGCCTTTCCCAGCGCCGTTCGATGTGTTAGCCCACCTTCTGGGCTCCCCACTTTATGGCTCCTCCTTAGCAAACCTCGCGCCTGTTTTTTTGGGGAGAGGAGGCCAAAAACCGAGGAAAGATGCGCCCGTCGGTGCCCTCAAAGGGCAGTGGAACTTAAGGGCTACTGTGTGAGCTGGCCTCAGCCGTTCCTGCTCCTGTCTGTCTCCCTCCCGGCTGAGCCGGCCTGAGAGGCGTCCAAAGAAAATACACTCGCAAAATCGGGCTGGGATTCACTTCGGACCTCGGGCGGGAGGGCGCCTGTTAAACAGCCACGCCGACAACCCGGGGGGTTAGATCTGAAATTTCGCTTTTAAAAGCTGCCGAGCCGGGAGTGGAAACCGCTCAAACATTCAATTCTCGGAGATTTAGTGCGGTTTAAGACCTCTGCTCGTATTTACATGTATCATAGGTGGCAAATCAATTAGACCGCGGGCCTGACCCTCCGGAAGATGAAAACTGTGACAGGCTTTGGGTTTGTTGTTTGGTTGTTTTGGGGGGTTTTTTTCCCACCTTGGGAACCAAGTTTTCTTTTTAAACTCCCCCAAATAACCACTTACAGGGGCGTCCTTCTAAGAGGAATAGTTTTTTTTGTCTGTAGCGCATCTGAGATGTCAGCAATAAGCGATTAGCAAAGCGGCCACCTTCGATTAGAGCGTTTTTATTTTCTTTTAAAACACTGACCGTCGAACCACGTGAAGCGCCTCTTTCGACCACAAATTACCGCAATGAGCAGTTTTGGGGTCGGGGGGTACGAGGCTCCCCCCTCCCCTCCCCCAAACTATTCGGAGGGGTGTATTTGCAGAGCAACCACGAGAAGTGGGAGAAAATACGAGAGCGAACATTTTCAGCGGATGTACTCACGCGTCGAGTTATCGGGACATCCCATTTCTTTGCCCAAAAATTTGCATGCGGGGCTGCTCCTGCCAGATAATCGCTGGGTTTGCAGAGCTACAAATATTGCGTAACTCTCTAATCAGATGTGGGAGCTGTTCGGCTCCTGCAAAGCAGGAAACTTCGGGCTCTCATCCGAGCTTTTCTCTTTTTTTTTTTTTCCTTCTTCTCTAGTCATCGTTCCCTTTCAATCTCACTTTTTTTTTTTTCCTCGCATGCCAATAAAGCAGATCTACGTAAGTTTGGGTCCGTTCCATGCACAAAGGGAAACTCTGCAAGAACAAGTATAAAAGATATCAGTCAGAGAGGGGGGTGGAGGGTGGAAAACTACTTCCTCTGCATGTTATTTCCTTGAATTATAAGGATTACGTTTCAGTCGAAATGTTCATTGCAGCCGTGGCATGAAACAATCTTGGCTTTGCTGCTGTAAACACGATGTTTAAAATAAATTAGCTCGTAATAAGATCCCGGTTTCGTAGACACTTAAAGCTCGGTCAGAGGGAGCCGCACTGGCAGCTCTGCAGCCACCATGGAAGATGTGTAATTCTAGATTTGGAGCGCACACGGTCACAGATCCGAGCAGTGGGGAATGTGTGTTCTAAGGCGTCATTTCCCCGTGTCAGACCCGACGGACAGACGGCCACAAATTCGGGCAGGAAACAAACCCTCGAGAAAACACCAACGAGCGGGGGACGGTCCGGGGGTCAATTTGGGTGGATTTTTTTGGTTCGGTTTTGTTCTCCCGCGCGACGACTTTTGATTTTCCCCTGGAAAATGTAAAGCAGGCGGCGAGCAGAGCTCCGGCTCCACCTTGGGCAAACGAGGAGCTGGAGGGGGGGATGCGCAGGTAGAGCAAAGCCCATCTCCGGCCAGCGAACCCGGCAAAACCCGGAGCAAAGTGGAGCTTTTCGGGGGGCGGGTGGCCGGGAACCGCTCGAGACTTTCCCTGTCGTCCTTTCCAGCCTTTGAACTTTGCAAAAATAGGTGTTTTGTGGGGCGGGCGGGCTCGGAAGGGGGGGATGCAAACCCCGCGCACCTCCGAGGCACAGCTTTCCCCTCGGTAAAAAACCTCCGGCGACATCTCGATCGGTAACAATCAATAAACTCAGCTTTGGACCGCAAGCCAAGGCTCTTTTTTAGCCATGAAAGGTCGGGGCATAGATTTGGTATTAGCAAAAAAACGCAAGAGGGCACAATGCGGTGCCGGACACCGGAGCAGAGCGGGATTTAGCAAAGGATAAAGGAAATACTTCGATTTTCCATTTATCTTCCGAGTCCGGAGCTTTGGCAGAAACAAGAGCGGGGAAAGATGCGATGGATGCAGAGGGAAGGTTGGGTTCAATCGAGCGCAGCTTTCCTGAGCAGGGAGCGCTAATCTATGGTAATTAGACAAGCACGAACCGAAATAAGTTGTCAAAACCGATTTCTTCCCGTACAGCAAACC